GTTAATGTCATTTGCCACATATTGGTTGCTGGCACTGTATGGCACTTGTTAAATATGTCTTCATGATCCTTAGCAATCCTTGAGTAGTATATATTGCCAGCTTCATATACACTAGATGCTTTAAGAAACAAACTGGTGATTTGCACGTCAGGAATTAGAAGCTAGTGAAGGAATTAGTTTGACGAAAGACAAAAGTGAGATTAACAAATTCAAAGTAGGAACCCATCGTCCACCTATCTGCCATGTTTGTTTGATGCCTGTGATATAGCCGCACGCGACAGCGCTACTATTTGAAAAAGATAGGCCGATAAAAAGGTGACAATATGCAGACAAAATGACTGCCTGCATTTGTATGGTGTAATATGATGAAACCTCGAAATTGAATATCAAACATTTTCCAAAACATAAAAAATTTGAGCCTCAACACAAAAGCATTACTCGGAAAGAGAAGTTTCATAATGGCGTGCAGCAACCTCATTGATGACATCAATCGGGGCCACCATTTAAAAACAAAGACATTACACTGACGAATGCATTTCTGTCACGTCGGTGTTTTGTGGGCAAGACCCCTAAACCATTATTGTTTCAGCGAGGTGGCCATAATGTATTCTGAAAACAGTTAGATAAAAGTGACAAAACCCTTTCCATATTCTTACAAATCAGAGTCGATTGTACGATTCCGACTTTATCATGAACGTGTATTTATGAATCAAATAGTAATGATACCAAGTGTTCAAGAAAAGGTGAGCGGTTAGGCAATTAATACTAAGAAAGGAGCTCGTGCACATCCTTACCAAAATGACAGAAGGTATCCAGTAAAACACATACTTACCTTACTTTCATTAAGTCAGTTAATAGATTACAATGAATTATAATAATACCATCTTTTTTCAAGGGGTTTGGATGCAGATGTGTGCTCATGGTGAATTAGGCTAATTACTTCGCACGTGTACATTTCTCATATTTTGGGCTATTTTAGTTCGTCGTGCAAGACGTTTTGGTCAAGTATTTTACTAGAGGCATGACAGAGCAGAAGAGTGTCACTCGACATGTATGTACTGAAGACAACTGATCTACTCGAATGTAAGTGTTCAGAAATGGATTTAGATATGCATATATACGATATATGTGACAATAAACGAATGTATAAATGTGCACAGACTGATTATCACGCGTGAAATCTTATGTATCAAATTAGTCGCACGTTTTGAAATCTGCTCGATCTTAATATCAACGACAAATATCTGACAAAAAGGTTTACATTAAAAAGATATATGTACATATATATTTAACCTGCATAAAACCTGGTGTCAATACACAGTACAATAACCATAGCATAACAGATGTCTTAGTACAATCAAAAGAATAAACTATTAGTCAACGATAAAAATAAAAATAAATGGGCTATAGATCTCCAGCAACCAATGCTAGGCCACCATGATTGCTAGCGACCATGTTGCACCAACAGCGCAACATGGCATTTCTTGTACTGCCAAGATAAGCAAAGAAAATCGACAAAACCCTTTCCACATTAAGAACAAATCTCTCCAATCACTCTGTATCACTATGCAATAGTAATTATACAGGTTTTCGCGAAAGGGTGAGCGTATCCTGCCACGACGGTGGCACCCATTACAAACACGTGCAAAGGCAAGTCAATTGTTCCCCTTGAAAAGTTAAAAATAGGGAATTGCATCGGACATCATTTTTGTCATTGATGCTTCAGATGTGGAATATCCTCGACATGTTCACCATAAAACTTTTTGAAAGCTTTTCTATGACCTTGAATGTTGTGACCTTGATCAAACAACTACTGAACAAGAGTCGTATGACGCTCTATGAAAGCTTCGTAGAAAGGGCATGAACATTATCTGATCTACGAAACTGTTGATCGTAACGGATGTAGCTTTCAGTCTGCTAAGATCAAAACCATTAATGCAGCATGGCGTCAACAACAAAGCTTATTTACCCTACGAACAGATACGTTTGCCATTTTTATTTGGCGCCATGCAAGAAAGTAGCTGGCATAATTATATTTAATAAGCATTGTTTCTTAAATATTTCTAATTATTTACAAAATACTTTTCTGGAGATAAGAAGCTGCACATAAGAAAATACAATCAACATGTCCACATATTAAGCATTCAGCTGAGTAAAAAGTCCAAAGCATATTTACTTGGACGAATTTGACATAAAACCAAAACGCAGGATTGGAATTGGTGGTCAGACGTTGAAGTTTGAAGCCACAATAATTGAATTGAGCCCCTTGTCCTGTGTCTTAAATACATGTTTCCCACGAATATCGCGCTATCTCCCTGAAACGATGTTATTACTCTGCACTGAAAACAGACTCTTTGCTTGTACAGAAATCAGCCGATAAATGATAAAAGCAGATATTATCATGATCGGTAGGATTTATTACTCGGAGAACTATAAAAGAAGCAATAGGGCCAAAGTTAAGGCAAACGTAATCCCAAAGGTTATCGCAAATCGCGGAAATTAATCGTTTTCAATTTATTGTAGAGACATTAGGTGTATTTCAGGTCGACAGATGTCGATTCACCAGGATTTGATTGATAGTGTTCATATACAAAACACGCATGATGAATGTCCTGGGTGGAATCGAGGTTAAACGTATAAACGCGCCTGTACATGTTATTGTTTGATGTAGGTCGTAGGAGGCAAAAAAATGGATCAGGTGGTCAGGCTCGATGACTTTGTAGATAGCATGTCATCGTATCCTGATGGCGTGAATCAATTTCATGATATCACATGACTGGGCAAGTTGCTTTTTGTTTAACGCCGTACTCAGCAATATTCAAGTTGTTGACGGCGGTCGCCTTTCATGACAAGCCTGGGGCTCTGAAACCTATCCATTGATAAATAAAGGTTCTTTTATCGACGTCAATCAAGCTACACATCCGGCATTCTGAAATAAGTCAAAATCGAAAATAAATCTTTCTTTGTAAATGTCACCTTAATGGGAAGCCAAATAACAAGTCTGGAAGCAAAATTCCAGAAAAATCAACACAACAGATGACGTCAACCAGACGATAGAACCGTGCCGTGTCCAAGAGAGGATTCACCAGCATCTGAACCACATTAAATGATGGTGTAATTGGTCCTAATTGTCAGTGTCCAATTAATTACTGATAGAAGTTGGTTGGATCATGCTAACAAATGGGATCACTGTCTACTGCCCCGTATTGTTATGCCAATATTTGTCATAATAAAATGTGGTTTAATGGCATCCTTGACAAACAAACAAACAAACAAACAAACAAACAAACAAACAAACCGAAGGAAGACGACTGTAGTCATTTGCCCTGGGGACATGGATAAATTATGCGGAATTAACAATGACGTCGACATATTTACTAACATCAAGAGCTAAACGTGTATGAGAGGAGACATTTGTGATTTATTCAGGGTGTTGTTCTTCTATATATTGAACGTACGTGTGATTTGCGTTTTGTTTAGAATACTCTTGATATCAGCTCATGAAAGGCCTGTCAACATGTCAAAGAGCGAGATGCATGTGCGAGAGGCCACGTGCATTCACAGTTCAGCATTCTGGTATATCTTTTAAAATACGGTTATCATTCTGTTTTTTTTACTCTTCGACATTGTTTACGATTAAACGATTAAACATCTTAGCCTTGTTGTCTCACCTGATGTTATTTTCAATGTTGAACATTTTCTTCTCGATTTCTTATCTCAAATTTTGAATAACAGAGAGATTATAAATTTGTTAGATTTATGAAACTCCAATTAAAAAATAACGATAAAAGTAACAACCTCTCTATGCATATTTTAATAATAATTGGCTGTTAATATTTTTTCTTAGTTGTGTTTTATATTTGAATTGAATTAAACGTGACAATTAATATAAATCTATCTGATTTGTTTTAATACTACCTTATTTGTATGATAAATAAAGTTGGTGAAAAAATGAGCACAGATAGCAAAGGAAAATATCATTCACGAAAAATTATAATGTGTCCTGTTATAGGCCACAGGTGGGCTGTGCAAGATGAAGATGGAACTATAACGCTGGATCAGCTATAATGCTGTTGTCAACCAAAAAACAACATTCCTCTCAAATATTACAATCTCATTAGAAACAATCACAATCAGGTCTTTCCAACATCTTTTCGCACCAGGTGGTCTCAAATCATCAGGTGGTCTCACATTCATCAATAGCCTTCATTCTCAAACAGACATTTCTAAATAATTGTGATGCCAAAACATTCCTTGCCTTTTTATGTTCCCAAATACAGATTGTAGCTACCTCCATCTGACAAGTTATGTATACAGTGTTGAGTTCAAAGATATCAATCTATTCCCTCAAACTGAAGGACTAAGTGTTCTCTAAAAACTCTCCTGCAGCCATTTAACATACAGGTTGAACTATTTGATCTTTGAAGCCTTTCGAAACTCTAAATCCTGCTTTCTGTTTATAAAATAGCAAACAGGAGAGATGAAATACATTACAGTAAGGCAAACACCCCTATGGGACCAATCCCAGTGGAGAGCTGAATCGTTCCGTGTGTTCTCTTGCTTATATTACAATTATCTCGTGGCCGGACTTTTGTCAATATTGGTTTAAATCCAGGATAAAAGGGCATTCGGATCTTATTCGTGTTCTTGGTGAATGTCACTTTCTAACAGCAGGTTGTGGATAAATTGAACGAATTATATAACAATTTATTATATTCAATATTGTTCCAAACAGGAAAATACGTGAAAGGTTTATTGCCCTGACACAAAAGCAACTGACCTTCAGGTTGTTTCAGTGCAACCTTTTAAATGTCTTAATGTTAAGTCTCCAACAATGAATTAAGTCCTTAATACTATAATGGATAGTTCGATAGGTATATAATATGAAACTGTAGTGTAACGCCTTTGGGATGGCGCTGACTTTGAACGTCAGATGTACCACTTGACACGTTTAAAACGTTATCTGTACAGAGTGATTTGGGGTTGCAGTTGTTACTCACCATTGGCCAGACGTTGATTTATTGCGGTTGATGTCTCTCGTAGATCGCAGATGCGGTATTGGCCCAATACTGGGGCAACGTTGGTATAACGTTCGCTGCAAAGAGAATAATTTCGCCTCATGTATCATCAAACAAATTGTTTTGCTGGATATGCTGTGTGTCCTGAAAAATATGATACTGTCTGTAACAAAATTCTCCCGTAACATGCATTAAATGGTCAGTCCATTCCAAGCCGAATGTTAATGTCATGTGCTCCAAATAGGTTACACGATCAGTATGTATCTATTTTGATAACCAGTATACGTATCTTAAAAACAGGTGTTTAAAAATCGTATGCTGTAGCAGTTTTTCACTGATGCCGAAAAGTGAAAAAAAATATCCAAAAGAAAGCTGACTCCACGATATATGGGATTTCCTCTGAATTTGTAATTGTAAATATTATTAATAATGTGCCACTTGCCACGGTTAAATACGCAGAGTTGTGGCCCTTTGGTTCGCCAGATCCCTATAATTGTGGCTTCGAATCCCGGTTCGCCCCGATTATGTTTCTAGGTTTGTCAGCACAGTAGCAGTAGGTTTCACCAAAGTGGTAAGTCGTCTGAGACCTGCATCACTTTGGGCTTTCCTCCCACATTTACCTGACACACCGTGATTTAACTGGAACACTATTAATAGTGACTCTGAACCCAACTCACTCACTAACACAATCTTATCGGAACAGTTGTGAGAACCACCACTCCTGCCAGTGCTGCACAGTACATGTAGATCTGCAGCAAGTGCTTCATTACTTGGAGTTATTATGACAACCATGTCCTTGGTATCAGTAATGGCGAAGATTCTGTCAACCAACAGAACTCAGATGTAATTATTCTAAACCATTATTATAATAAACTTGTGATTCAAGTATTAATGAAAACATCGACATGCTGGTGAGTTTTTTAAGACACAGCCACATTACATTCATCAAATGAAAAACAAATATTGCCAAATACACAAAATAGTTCCGTGAAGTCTTTACAATGACGAAGACATGAATGTTGAATATGAATGAATAATCGTTCACCTACCAACAAATGATATTTCTTTTAAACATGTGTTGGATGAAATTGTACTGTTTGATTATTTACAACATTTAATATTTAAACATCATAATATTTAAAGTTTTCTTCACACCAAGGTATTTTCTGTATGTTAAAAGAAAAAGCATTTATGAAAACAAATATAATACCAGTGGGCACACCCGTGAAGATTCGGGTTAGAGTAGGTTTTCAGCAACCCATGCTTGCCGTAAAGGGCGACTATGCTTGTCGTAAGAGGCGATTGAGTGGTCAGGCTCGCTGACTTGGGCGATGCATGTCATCGTATCCTAATTACGCAGAGCGATGCTCTGATGTCATGATCACTGGATTGTCAGGCCCAGACACGATCATTTACAGACCAGCGTCATACAACTGGAATAGTGCCGAATGCGGCGTTAAACGACAGATAAGTCCCCAGTTACCGTTAAAGCAGCAACCGCAAGAGAACAAAACTAACTCCACAGTCAACGATTTTCCAGGTATTTTACGTCTAACTGTACATAATGAAGTTTGGACCAGACAAACCAGTGATCGAAAGCAGACGCATCGATCGGTGATGCAGCAGCAAACAGCCAAGTCACCGAGACTCACCTCATCCATCTGAGAGGGCTCTTGAGAAAAGTACTGGATACTGATGACAATTTCCTTCCAAGTCCCCACTGAGATTAATACTCCATGTTTAATGTTAATGTATATTCCGTGTCTTTTCAAATTAACCGTTGCATGCATCCAGTCAGTTTTACTCGATAAGGCTAATATACAATATAATTCCACTAAAACGCTGCTTCAGAAATGGATGAATCCAAAGTATTAAACTGCCAGCCATCATGTCGCCTTGAAGTATTGTAACTTGGCAAAGAAAAGTACAGGCAGGGCATGGTAATCTTCTCCCACTGCACTGCAATGAACCTGCCGTTCTTATATCACGGCATCAATTATGCATAAAATGTCCACCGCAAAGAAACACTGATGTGATGAAGTATTAAGAAAATATACCACAGCAAGAAGATTTTCATCGATATTTTTTAATGAACTGTCACATCATTAAAAATAAAGCCACGTCAAGCCGTCGAGAGTTTGCCAAGTCCACTCTCGCCAACAACTTTATGCTTGAGGTTCCTAATTGTCAGAAATATTTAAATACTCAAATGCCAAATGCAAGGATCTTGATGGGAATTCTATCAAGACACTGAAGGGTGCTTGATTCTGAATGATCAAAATATCATCAGATACCTCAAAAGTAAGACGCCTTTTCCCATAAAACTTGTGTGTGACCACATCGACCTGCCGATAGCCTAGTTGTCGATATAGTATATGAAAAAGCCGATTAGAACTTTATACATTCGGTATTGGTCACCAAATGGTACACTGCTAAACCATATGGTCACAACAGCTTATCAATTTCATAAATAGAAATGACACCGAAGAAAAAAAAAAGGTGGGGAGTTAGACTGTGGTGAAATGGGGTTCAACGTCGCGTTCTAGATTAGTGCACTTATATAGCTGCGGGCGAGCGTGCCTTCTTGTACTAGTCTGGGCCAATGCCGATTTTACAGCGCTTGCCCACTGAGATAGCTTGAAGCAGTTTAACATTAATACCCCGCTCAGACACATATACTGACCCCGTCATATAGCTGGAATATTGCAACAAACAAACAAACAAACAAAACAAATTCTTATGTTCATTATGTGTGAGTAAGTATGGTTTGACGCCGCTTTCACCAATGTTCCAGCAATGACACCAGAATTGGGCTTCACACATTTTACCCATGTCGGGAATCAAACCCAGGTCTTCGGCGTGACGAGCAAACGCTTTAACCACTAGGCTACCCGACCGCCCCCTGTTCATTATGAGTCTTTTTATATGCCTTGTACACACATCACGTGTTTGCCTTTTGTCGAGGACCAAGCTACAGTTTTAATTTTCTGAACGTTTTGTACTACACCATAAAGGAAATACTTTAAATTCATTATGCCTCTACAATTCTTTAACTCTCGATTGGTCATATTCATCAAGGCAGTTATGAAAAACTTTGACAACATTCTCATCCTGGTACATTCAGCCCTGATTGACATCACAAGGTACGGGGCAACGAATGGATTATTCTATAATAGATGTATGTCAACTCACCTTAGACATCAAATGTTCATCAGTAAAGTAATTATCCATTGCATAATGCAGTTGGCAATATACATATTACACTCATGTCTGGTGCTGATAAATGGTTTGTGTGTAAACATGAAATAAATGTCTCTCCTTCTGTTGCTCAGTGCTGGTGATATATATTCATCCAAATCCCGGCCCAAAAGAATGTAACAGAAGTAAAATGTAACCATATTCCACTTGAATATCAGAAGTATCCAGCACATATTGACTCAAATCTATAACGATCTTTGCGATTTCGATGTGTTATGCTTCACTGAATCTCACCAAGACGCCAACTTTCAGTCCACCGATCTTCTCCTTGACCTCTTCCATGAACCGCACAGGAGGGACAGGGATTGTTTTTGAGGTGGCATAATTGTATATTTTCAAATTCACTTACTGTCAGGCATAGAACAGACTTGGAAGTGTTTAATTCTGAATCAATGTGGTTTCCAGACTTTCACCACAGAAATGTTTTCTACTCTGCGTCACCTACAGAACACCCAACACCCCTACTGCATATTGGACTATTCTAGAGCGCATGCGATAAACTGCACTTGATGTATCCCGTGACATCGTCCTAGTTTGTGACCTGAATGAAGATCTTTTCAATATTCACCACTTACGTTATATAATAACACAACAGAACTTACACAGTGTTATAACCGAAGTAACACGAATTACATTTGTTTGTTGTTTAACGCCGCACTCAGCAATATTCCAGATATATGATGGAAGTCTGTAAGTAATTGTGTCTGGACCAAACAATTCAGTGATTAACATCATGAGCATCGATCCACGCAATTGGGATCGATGACATGCATCAACCAAATCGCCAGGCCTGACCATCCGATCCTGTTAGTCGACTCTTACGACAAGCATTGGTTGCTGAAGACCTGTTCTCTACCCGGATCTTCAGTTTATAAATTTACTTTTATATAACCTTTTGTATTTAAGGACATGATTGTAGATATGAAAAAAACCTTGTTCTCGTCGCTATATGATTGGAATAATGTCGATGCGACGTTAAATTTTAACTCATTTCCTTGTGCATCGAGTAGGTGAGAACTTGGCAAAACTGAAGCACGTTATTTATGAGTGTATAATACACCAAACTCCATGTCAGTCGCGTTACAGTGTATTTAACATTGCTGATACACGGAGTTGATCAGCGTGTAGAATGTATGGTCTCGACTGTTATCACTCATGTTACTAAAGCCTCAAAACGTCTTGACAATAACGTGTTATAGATTAAATCGTCACACATGTGGTCGCTGTGTAATCACTCTTTTAAAATTACCTCAAGCCGATAAAGGACAAAGGTAAATACACACACCATCGATCAAACAACACGACGTGAAATCGGCTAAAATTTCCATTGGCCCAGGACAAAATATCGTATTAAACTTACATGATTTCCGTCCAATTAGGATGTCTTTGAAGTCAATTGGACACTCAATTAAATTTCAGCACATGCACAGAGAGGTGGATGTGGAGGGTTAGTGGGTGAATGGATGTATGGATGGATGGACAGATGATGGATGAATCAGTAGATGGATACATCATGTCTTGTGATTAAGGGTATTTTAGTGAATGTTTGTTAACGCTATAGACAGAAATATGTCACGGAAATCCATAAATACATGTCACTGAATCTACTTCAGGAACACAAGTGATTGACATCATGAGCATTGATCCAAGCAATTGGGATACCATGACATGCATCAACAAAGTCAGCGAGCCAAACCACCTGATCCCGTTAGTCGCCTCTTACGACAAGCATGGGTTGCTGAAGACTTATTCTAACTCGGATCTTCCGAGTTTAAGGAAAACAGCTGACAAGTCGAATGAACAAACCTTAATTTGTTTTAGGGCAGGACATGCTTACCCTTTTCGCGAACACCTGGTGTCATCACTGATTTTCAGTGAAACGTTCATATTGCCTTTTACGTCCAATGGAATGTTTGTCAGATAATCGAGACGTTTAGATTATATATTTATGCTACCTGTAAGGTTATCATTTCCTAATTTATTGATAGCTGCATCCGTGCTTTGAGGAGCATCGATGGATGGACTTCAAAGAGATCTCCCATTCCTGCAGAATGTCAACGGCTCTTTTATACCGCTTCAGTAAATAGCTACAAACAATAGTTCAGTTTCATAACGGGAGATTGATCCCACACTTCTCTTTGATGTAATGAGAAGTA